TGCGCACCACGCTTAACCAGAAAACAAACAAATTAGCCATACAAATTTCACTTTACATTCCTCTCCAGATCAGTTTCTCTTAATCTGTAAATTGGTCATGGTGAGTTCTAGCTAGTTATTGTCTTATTGAGGGTCTTCTCTGACCTTATGTGGAAGTTACATGTTGTTCCACAGTTGCTAGCTAGTGTTAATTAGCTGTTCCTCTACCTTAATATGCGTGGTGCCTCATTAACACAACCAATTGGGTAATGAGAAATAGCTAGAGAAGTAGAGATTGGATAGCAACAGCCAACAGATTGGTCTCCAGCAGAATGAACACAACCGATTCACTACTAAATTATAATATGTTTCAGTAATAAGAGCTTGCCAAGTTCACAACTACAAGAGAAACTTTTCAAGCTAGCTGTTATATACTTGTATTAAACTGCACCCACTTGGCAACTTCTTGTATCCAAGGTGCAATTTACTCAAATGAGAACTACACATATAATGACATTAAATGGAATCCCATGAGTTAGGTTCACTAAATGAAAGGTTTGGATAGAGAGACATTATTGCTTTTAGATGTATAAATTCGAGAAATACAGGAAGCTAGAATGCACACAAATGGAGCTGACTACAAAAAAGGTGCTTACATAGCAACATGAACATTTGGTTTCTTCAACAGTTGCAAGAAAGACCTACTAATTGTAGTATTCTCCTTCTTAATTGTAGGCAGAACTCCTGCCATCTGGGTTTATAAAGAGAACCATGGACAGAAAATGGTATAGCGTGTGCAGACGTGCAGTGATATAAAGGCACTACATTTCTAGTGTCATCTGTGTGAAATGTCATGGTGTAATAAACGACTAGTTCGATTGAAGACGTATATAACTATATATATGGCATAATGAACAAAATCGAGTCCCATGAGAGCATAGTGTACTATATGATAGGGTGGGCTGAAAACACCATTGTTCTGCTAATTTTAGGCTTGAAGGTGACTGGGAATCTAGTTAATTGCAACTGCTGCAACATAAGCTACATCAGTCAACAGATTAGCATTGCAAGTAGGATGCAACTACATTGTGACCCTTTCTTTGCAGAAATAGATGATAAGGCACGTCGATATCAGGCTTTGCCGTTTGGGTAGATCGCTGCTCACCAAGATTCCATTTGGCTGCTCATTAATTATCTGAAATTTTGGTTGGCGTAGGCTCAGAGAGATCTAAGTGGGAGCTGGTTGTGATGTTCAGTATTGTCTACACTTACGAAGGTATTGCTCACCATGTCCACAAGGCTTCAGCTACGGGACTAGAGAAAGAAACAAACTAGCCCTACAAGTGAACTTTACACTCCTCTCTAGTCAAGTTTCACTGTCGTGTGATTCGAACATATGCTGATAGGTATACTTCTCTAATACTTCGAGAAATAACATATTGCAAACAAACTAACTAAATGAGGTTGTTAATTAACAAATGTTTACAACATGTTCTAGTCGACAAGCCTTTTCATGTTCATAGCCCAAAAGTTACTTGAAGAGCTGAAGGTACGTAGCACAAGGTCCATCCTAACGTACTTGCAGTTCCTTTATGCTAAGAAGGTATCTTGCGAAGGACTGAAAAATACTCAAATGATAACACTTTCTTCGTTTTGCCTATTCGCGGAATAAGCGAAACATCATATTTGCAAACGAAAAGTAATTTGTGAAAAAAACTTTTATATACTTTGTTAAATCAAAGTGTGTTTGATTGTTATTCTATGATGAATAATTGGCATATGAGATTATTGGTTTTGGTATTTAGAGATTATTGGCGAAGTGGGTTTAGAGATGATTGGATTTGCAGATGATAAACAGGGACTACTGGATAATTGGACCGTTTAGACCGGTCAAGGTTTGCCGGTCACACCAGAGGTATACGTGTGGTCAGACCAACCAGCCCGCGGTCTGACCATTCGACTATGTGTCGGTTTTAGTTTCGGGTTATTTCATTGGATATTTGTGGATAATTTGTGTTTATGACTTCTAGATGGATACTATGTGTACGTAATACTGTTGTTTGCTAACAATGAGTCAAGTTGGAGATAGCTTGTGCTCGAGATATGGTTTCTTGTTTGATTCATGTGTAGGTGATCTTGACGCCTCGAGATAGTATAGCGGATTGGGAGTCAACTTGGAGATAAGGAGACGTCCGGACGGTCAGATATTATGTGGGATACTTAGGCTAAAGATCAATGCACATGGTTAGTCCAGATTCCATATGGCATACGATGGAGGTATTGTGTGCGTATGGGATGCGGAGTCGAATTTGGAGGAAGTCCAAATTTGGAACGATTGGAGTTTGTAAAGTTAGTTTCTTGTACGGGAATGTTTCCTAGAGGATTAGAACTTCTTGTACAAGTTTGGCTCATGGCTTTACGCTAACTACCTCGGGTATATATAGAAAGGGAGAGTGTGGCCTCCTGGTATCGCTTTAGAGAGCATTGAGTTGAGAGAATAGTTAGGGTTTCGAGTTTAATCGAGATTTTCGTGAGGAGTGCTGTTGTTGCACTTTGTAAACACAGAGAGAAGTAATAAAGTTGTCATCTACTTTGAGAGTTCTTCGATTTGTGTTTGCTCGTGTTCGGCAGTCTAACCGTCGAGACACCACCGGTCAGATCGATGGCATCGGACCAGTTAGACCGGTGGAGTAACGGCGGTTAGACCGGTGGCGGCTACAGGTGACGACAAGTGATTTCGGCAGTCAGACCGGAGCGACTACTGCGGTTAGACCAACGGTTTCCAGGCGGTTAGACCGGTGCATCTACTCCGGTCAGACCGCGTATCATCGAATTGAGAGTAACTTTTAATTCCGCTAAAAGTTTTAGTTTTTGGGTACTCCAACCATTCACCCCTCTCTTGTTGGCTTAGTTCTTGTTGTTCGATCCTACATTTTCTTCTTTGGATTTTAATCGATCTAGAGTTTTGCCATGGCTAACAAGTTTACAAGTAGCCACGTGTTTTCGATGGCTTGGATTTTTCTTATTGGTGTGACAAGATGCAATCTTACATGATGGTTGAAGATTATGATGTTTGGCAAAAGGTTGCTCAGACTTATGTGATTCCTAATCAAATTAATAATGTTGCTTTGAAAACTGAATTTAACAAAAATTGCAAAGCTCGCAATATTTTATTGAGTGGGATTTCTCGTTCGGATTTTGATCCTGTTTCACATCTTCAAACCGCCAATGAGATTTGGAATGCTTTGAAAAACTTTCATCAAGGAACTACAAACATTAAATAACTTCATCGAGATCTTTTAAAAAAGGAGTACATTTAAAAAGATCCATTGATTCTGCTTATGACACTAATTATTCACAATCTAAGATTCCTCGCCACTTTTTGAATGGTCTTGATATGTCTGTTTGGGAGATGAAGGTTACATCTATTCAAGAGTCTGTTGATATGTCCACTTTGACTTTGGATTCACTTTATACAAAACTCAAAACACATGAGATGAATATTCTTTCTCACAAAGTTGATTCTAAGTCTAGTGCATGCTTTGGTTTCTCCCTCGACTTGTTTGGATATTGGTGCTTCATCGTCAAATTCTACCGCTCTTGCTTTAATTAATGACATGTCCGATGAGCAACTCGAACAATTCGAGGAGGAGGACTGGGCTTTGGCTGCTAACAAGATTTCTCAAGCTATGAACAATGTCAGGTACAGGAAAAGAGGAGGTCAAACTCGTTGCTTTAAATGTGGAGCACTTGATCACATTCGTTGAATATTTTGGATTTTCAGTGCAATATTTTGAATTTTTTATAATGGATTTTTGTACAATATCATGAAATTTCCTATAGCGTATATTTAAGCTTTGTGTGTACTTACTAAATTTTAATATTTAGTTAGGAGTTATCCCACCAATTCCTTTGATACAAACAAACATCCCATGGTGCAATCAATTGTTTTTTGCCACACCGCGCTAAGTGCAAGGGAATCTTGATTTTCTTTTTAAGTCATTGACATGTAGGGATTTAATTTATTGGAATATAATATTGCCACAACGGTTGCTGTAACCAAATATCTGTCAAGTTGATCAAACTAGCCTAATTTTAGATCAATGTAGCAAACTATGGTTAAGTGTGGCTGGCAATCAAACATCCCTGGAGTATTTATGGTACAAATTAGATGAGTGAAAAATAAAGTTATCATGGGATGGAGAGAATTTGTCTAGAAGAAGTAAAAAAAAAATAGACACAACTTGGCCGCTTGAGTGTTGAGATCATGGTTCTTGTCTTTCTGTGTGCCATATTGCCTTGTTGGCAGTGATTGCTTCTTGAAATCATTTCATTTGTAAAGTATGACACGCTAAGATTTTATGCGTTTACAGGAAAGAGATAAATTAACAGAAGTCAATGGAAATATTTGGTTGAATCAAGAAAATAAATAGACTCAACCACGGTTAGTGACCTGGCCATGCTATTGAGTACGGACTTGAACAATGACATAAGTAGTCGTGCAAGGTATTGACATAAACAATGATATAAGGAATCCAGCGGGCATGTGATGACCGCAGACTTTCAGTTACTGTTTATAGGTCATGTAGTCCCTCCGAAAAAAAAAAAAGAAAGAAAACACAACCTAAGTACCAAGATACTCCCTCTGTTTTATTTATATCTATCTAGATTCATTAACATCAATATGAATATAGGAAATGCTAGAATGACTTACATTGTGAAACGAAGGAAGTATCATACATTCTAGTACAACGAATATGGAATAGTATATATACTCCCTCCGTAAAAAAAAAGAAAACACAATCTAAGTACTGAGATGTGATACATTCTAGTACAACGAATACGGACATAGTGTATATGTCTAGATTTAGGTTGTTTTTTTTTAACGGAGGGAATACTCATCATATTATATGATTTTTTAGCTAAGGACGCAGTATTAAATTCATTGACATTGAGAGTGTGCTCCGGATGCCACTATATATAAATATATAAATAGACAGAGGGAGGGACAGGGAGAGAGAATGGGTATCTCAAATGCTCTGCAATGGTGGGAGGAGTGGCAGCTCCGGGTTCTTCTCTTGGGCAGCCTCGCTTTCCAGTACTTCCTTTTCATTACAGCCTCCCGGCATAAGTTTCCTATCCGATCCTACCTCAGATCCTTTATCTGGTTTGTATACCTCGGTAGCGATGCCCTAGCAATATATGCCCTTGCAACCCTATTTAACCGTCACAAGAAACAGGATGTTGGTCACACACACAACAACGATGTCTTAGAGATTCTTTGGGCTCCTATCCTACTGATTCACCTTGGTGGACAGGATAGCATAACTGCCTACAATATTGAAGACAATGAGCTGTGGATGCGACATGTTCTCACGGCACTGTCCCAGATCACCGTAGCCATCTATGTCTTTTGCAAATCATGGCCAGGAGGGGACAGGAGATTGTTGCAGTCGGCAATCTTGCTCTTCGTGCCTGGGATTCTCAAATGCTTGGAGAAGCCCTGGGCTCTCAATAGAGCTAGCATCAATAGCCTGGTGAGTTTTGACGAGAAAGTCCGTAGGACGATTAACAGGCAAGGCAAGCAGATTGATTCGATCGAAGATTTTGTGCGAAGTGCAAGGGGATTTTTTTGTGGAAATGATCATCTGGAGAAACCAAGTAGATCAGCGGACTTTACACCTGATGAGTTATTTGTAGACCTTGCATCTCCTTGTACTGATAATCGCGTAAGAAAACTAATGTCATTCTCAGCACTTTGTGGAGACGAAGCATATTATTTGTTACAGAACAACCTGTCCGACACCTTTGATCTACTCTATACAAAAGAAAAGATGTCCCTTAAAACTCCCCCTACCGAAGAACTTGAGACTGGCCTTCATCATTTTGTTGAATTATACAAACAGTTGAATTATACCCTATTTAGCTCTCTCAGTGAATTTTTTGGTACTGTAATACGTGAATTAGCAATGTTTCTACCATTTACGGCCATCGGCCTATTTCACCAGAGTAACAGAAAATCTTATAATGATAAAGATGTCAAGGTTACTTATGCATTGCTCTGCTGTACTGCTGTCATAGAGTTTTACAACCCTTTTGTAAAGGTATTCACAAGTGTGACACTAAACCAACGATCAAGCTCAGTTTCCAAGCTCAGTCAAAGGCCAAGGCAACGCTACCTTTACCAACATCAAGATGACATGGTTTCCCAATACAACCTATTAGGATACTTTGTTCGCAACAAAAAACATTCTACGATAATGAACTTTGTGGGATTCTTTGGGTGCAGAAACTATCTTGACCGACGTTGGCGAATGAAGTCCTGCTTTTCATCGCGCAGCATTACAAACGTAGTTCTTGGGCATGTGAAGCGTTGGTGGAAGGATCACATAACTGATGTTTTCACCTACAGGATGTTCAATGATATTAGGGGTCAATGGAGTCTCAAAGTTGAGGGTTGCTTTCAGGGATTAGGCTGGAGCTTAGAGGGAGCTTTCGATGAGAGTGTCCTTCTCTGGCATCTCGCCACGGATTTGTGCTTCTACCATATCAGTCCATCTCATGGCCGTGAACATGCCACAACAATGTGCATAGAGCGATCCTCTGGCCTCAATAATCGGTGCCCTACTTGGTGCGAAAAATCTATTCACCATAAAAATGCTGTTCAGTGCCGAGAAATGTCGAATTACATGACGTACCTACTGTTTGTCAATCCTGAGATGTTGATGCCAGGCACAAGGCGAAACCTATTCACAGACGCCTACAACGAACTGAAGGGTGTCGTCAAGGAAAAGAATCCACCACTGGATGAAAGAGAACTTGCAGAGAGAATAATCGCCGAGGTGCAGCAACAACTCGAGGAGATAACTGGGGAAGATAAGTCACCATCCAGTAAAAGAGGGCTCATTGAAGATGCTTGGTCCATTGCTGAAGAGCTCCTGAAGTTAGAAGATGACGAGAAGATGTGGAGAGTGATTGAAGGCGTATGGGTGGAGATGCTTTGCTTTTCTGCTGCCAGATGCCGAGGGTACTTGCATGCTAAGGGCCTCGGTACAGGCGTGGAGTTCCTGAGCTATGTTTGGCTACTCTTGCATTACATGGGGATGGAGACCTTGGCAGAGAAGCTGGCAAGAGGAGACCTCCAAAACAGAGGACACTCAGGTAATTTGCGGACATTCCATGTTAGAGAGTCCTCTGGTGAAGAGCAGGTTGCTGGACCATCGACTTCTTATGCTAACGGAGACAACGGTGATCAACATGTTGTTGCTCCATTCTCTGAGGATGGCTTTACCTTGGCTGGGGATGAAAATGTGTGACGTGATACTTACAAGATCACTTAGTTCCTGTTTGTTGCTCTTTTTTTTTTTGTTTTGCTCCTGCATGTGTGTTTCAGCTTTTCTTGCGATTTAATATTACCAGTGTCATGCAACTGATTTTTCATGTGAATGCTTACTAATTACACTACCACAATGTTAAGTCTTAATGCCAGTATGTTTTTCTTCTTAAAGTTGTATGAGCGTTTTTTAAGGGAGAGAAGCTTGTGCGCGCGCGCGCATATCTTCTAATAGTACTAGCCTACTAGGTGAATCTCCGCGCTTTGCTGCGGAAATTACTAAGTAAATTTTAATATTTTTTAATATTTGAGCTAAAACTAAAAATGATATTAGTTATTAACAAATAAAACTGGTTTGTCAAACTATATGTTAGGAGAGAAATAAATTTAGTAGTATGTATGTGATTGTAGATAAAATATGATATCCCACGCTTTGATTATATGGATGAATATATGTTAATTATTATAAAAATGATGGATGTATATATGTTAAAAATATTGTGAAAAAAAATATGAAGCAAGATGATTGGATGTTGATTTATAGAATTCAATGAATTATAGATGATGTTTCATGCTTACATAAGTTTTGTATGTAATTATTACTAATGGATGATGAGGTGGTATGTTTGCATGTAGAGCTATAGTATTAGTGGGTTATAACTTTATAGTAATAAATGATATGATTTATGATGAATCATTGATCTTAAAATGCTCTATTCTAAGGTGAGTCATAGCGTACATCTGAAAAAGAGTGTGGCCATGGTATGCAAATCAACGTGTGTTTGATTATTATTCTATGATAAACAATTGGCATATGAGATTATTGGTTTAGATATTTGGAGATTATTGGCGATGTGGTTTTAGAGATGATTGGATTTTACAAGTGATGAACAGGGACTGCTGGTTATTTGGACCGGTCAGACCGGGCAGGTGCTGCCGGTCAATCCGGAGCTATGTGAGCGGTCAGACTGGCTAGCCCACGGTCTGACCGGCCGACTCTGTGTCGGTTTAGGTTTCGGGTTGATTTGTTCGATATCCGTGGATAATTCGTGTTTATGACTTCGAGATGAATACTATGCGTATGTAATACTGTTGTTTGCTAACAATGAGACAAGTTAGTGAGAACTTATGCTCGGATATGGTTTCTTGGTTGATGCTTGTGTAGGTGGTCTTGATGTCTCGGGAGAGCGTTGCCGGTGATGGATCGGGAGTCAACTTGGGAGAAGATGACATCCGAACAATCTGGATATCATGCGGGATGCTTAGGCTAAAGATCAATGCAAGTGGTTGGTGAAGATTCCATATGGTATAAGATGGAGATATTGTGTGCATATGGGATGAGGAGTCGAATTTGGAGAGAGTCCAAGTTTAGTACAATTGGAGTTTGTAAAATTTGTTTCTTGTATGGGAAGGTTTCCTAGGGGATTAGGACTTCTTGTACAAGTTTACTTCGTAGCTTTAGGCTGTCTACTAGGGTATAAATAGAGAGGGAGGGTGTGGCCTCCTGGTATCGCTTTAGAGAGAGTTGAGCCAAGAGAAAAGTTAGCGTTTCGAGTTTAGTCAAAATTTTCGTGACGAGTGATGTTGTTGCCCTTTGTAAACACATAGAGAAGTAATAAAGTTTCAATCTACTTTGAGAGATCTTCTATTTGTGTTTTCTCGGGTTCAGCACTCCAAGCGGTGGGACACTAGTGGTTAGACCGACGGCATTGCAACGGTTAGACCGGCGGGGACACGGCGGTTAGACCGGTGGCGGTGACAGGTTTCGGCGGTTAGACCGGAGAAACTACCTCGGTCAGACCGGAGATTTCTAGACGATCAGATGGGTGCATATACTCTGGTTAGACCGCATGTCATCAAAATTGAGGGTAACTTTTAATTCCGTTAAAAATTTTGGTTTTTTAGTACTACAGCCGATCACCCTCCTGGTTGGGCTAGTTCTTGTTGTTCGATCTTACAAGTGGGTATTAGAGCCTTGTTTTCTTCTTTGGATTTTAACCGATCTAAAGTTTTAGCCATGGTTAACAAGTTTACAACTAAGCCACATGTTTTCGATGGATTGAAACTTTCTTATTGGTGTGACAAGATGTAATCTTACATGATGGCTGAAGATTATGATGTTTGGCAAAAGGTTGCTCAGCCTTATGTGATTCCTGATCAAATTAATACTGCTGCTTTGAAAACTGAATTTAACAACAATTGCAAAGCTCGCAATATTTTATTGAGTGGGATTTCTCGTTTGAGACATACCAAGTAATGTCATCGATCATCATGAGTTCATTAACTGAGAGGAACTTTTCAAGTTGCTGTATTAAACCGCACCCACATTCCAAGTTCTTTTATCAGTGTTTCAATTTACTCATAAGAGAATTACATTATGTGACATGTAATGACAGAAATGGAATTCCATGAGTTAGGAACACTAAAAGAAAGGTCCAACTGGAGACATTCTTACTATTATGGAGCTGAAGATATATGGAGCAAAGTGGGAGGCTAGAGCACATATATATGGAGCAGAAGACACAGGGTACATTTTTACATGTCAACGTTTGGCTTCGCCAATAACTGCAAGAAAGACCCGCCAATTGTAGGCCTGAGAGGAACGGGGAATCTAGTTTATTCTGCGCGCTTCCACCATATCGAACATTATCTACCTTAACCTCAACTTTTTTTTTTATTACAAAGTAGTATCGGATGCAACTAAAGAGTGACGATGAACTTATATTTGCCGAAGTATCCAAAATTGCAATGGTAAGCGAAACGGCCCCATCATTTCGCTTATTCTAATGAAAAGTAATTAATTTATGGATAAAATTTTTATATACGTGTTCTTAGCGATTTAAAAGAAAAAAACTGAAAAATAAACTTCGATAAAAAAACCTTAAAATCAACTTCAAATTTAATGTTGAAAAATCAAATTTTAGTTGAAAAGTATAAGCATAAGCGAAAATATGAGATTCTTAGTCGAGCATGAGCAGATCGCTGCTCACCAAGATTACATTTGGTGGGTGAGTGCAGGTACGTCCACACACTCTTATGTTGCAAACTCAAAACAAGATGAAGCAAGGTCCTCTTATATAGGATCAAACATAAGTAACCAAGTCTACTAGAAAAGGGTGAGTGGTAGATTACGCCAGCGAAAGTCAAATAATCGAATCTTGATAGATCAAAACACACCCCAACATTAAAAACCAATGGAATATACATTCGGTGGTCTATCCGACCTACTATGGTAGGTCTAACCAAAGCCTGGCCGGTTTGACCGCAGGTCCTCTCGCGATCTGACCGTCAGCCTAAAAACAGCACGATAGAGGTTCGGTAAAAACACGCTTTCTCTTAAACCAACCGTTGGATTGAGTTGCAAACTTTACAGAATAAACTAGACAAACCAAGGAACAACTCCACCACAGGGATTTGCAAATTACAAAACGGTTTAAGAGAAAACACCATCGATTAGGGCTGGACGAAAAGCTCGTGTCTCATTGACTCACTCAGCTCTTATCTAGCTTGGCTCATTTGGATTTATTAACAACCCAAGCCAGGGTTTTAGCTCGTTTGTTATAACGAGCCAGATCAAGCTGGCCCGTGAGCTGTTCGCGAGCCAAACGAGCCAAGCACAACAGCTCAAGTACCTAGTTGGCCAGCAGCAATATGAAGCGACCAAGCTGGCCCATCAAGAAAAAGCCCATGAAGGAAAGAAAAATACTAACCCTAGATGGAGAGACACGTACATGACCTGTCTCTCGCACTTTGAATTCCCGATCCCCTTTCTACTCTAGCATCGCTCGCTCTCCACTTCTCACGCACCGACGAGGTCGCGCCGTCGATTGCTCGTAGGCGGTAGTGGCACCCTCGCCTTGGTAGGCCCTCGCCTCAGTCGGCCCCGACCGCCGGCCCTCGCGGCATCACCTTTGTCGGCCCCGCTGCCGGCCCTTGCCTCTGTGGCTTCGTCGGCACCAGTGCATCTACACCATCGATGAAGAAGGAGCTAGGAAGGTGAACGAGTCAATGAGACCAGCCAAACCAACATTTGTACATCTCTTCCAAGATGATTATCTCTTGCATGTTTTATTGATGGCAAAATTTGCTAGGACATCCAAAGACTGTGCTCTTTGCTAGAGGACACTGAAAGAATACGTTTTTGTTAGATGACACTGGTAATTAGCTGCTGGACACCTACGGTATTATTTTATTATATCTAGAGAAATATTTATTAAAGACAAGTTTACCCATAGGCCCACTTGTCAATCACACATATCTAGCTTTCTCTGTTCATGTTCTTCTTCCTGCTGCTACCTTCTCTCTCATGCGTGTGCACAGCAGCGGCAATGGAGAGCATGTGCAGTTGCTGGCTGGGGCAGAGCATGCGGCAGCTGGTTGGAGGAGGTAGGCCTGGAGCTTGGCCACCCGTCAGCGGCGCCACGAGAGAGCCGCACAGCTAGGGTGTCGGTGCGGGAGACTGGGTTGCAAAGGGGAAATATAGCGCAGCTTCAATTTGACCAAGCAGTAAGTACGACGGGGTGTCTAGGAACTTTGGGAAGTCGATTTCCAACGATTGCAGGACAAAGCAATGTCGGGGTTGTGTGCCCATGATGAGCTTGACGGCAGCCCAATTGAGTTTGGACTGGCAAGGCATCTTCGTCTAATTTTTAAAATTGATTGGGTGCAGTGCCTCTATGGGTAGGGAAAAAATTTAGGATGTAATGGATTGCCGGAAATTGGCGTGATGGCGAATGATGGCAACGACATCGTGCTCGCCATCAACGAGCTCCTCGGCAGCTTCAGGTGCGTCGTCGCTGTCGGCGGTGAACCCGGCGATGCGCCGCCGCCCCGCCGTGGCCGAGCCGTCCCGGCTCGGCCCGGCCGCGTTGGCCACGCGCGTCACACCTCTCGGGTCGGGCCGGCCGCGTTGGCCGCGTGCGTTGCACCTCTGCTCGGCAGTAGCAAGCGCGAGGAAGAAGGGAAAAGAAAAGAAGAGAGATCTGGAGTATTTTGGTACTTACACAACTCTTTCTTTCTCCATTTAACTGAAAATAATAAAATAATGTGAGAAGTGTCCAACAGCTAGTTATCACTTTTTTACGGTGTCCACGAAAAGATTCACGATCTTTGGATGTCTCACAGCAAAGACCGTAATCTTTTGATGTCTTATAGCAATTTTTGTCTTTATTGATTCCTCATTTGCATTTTTAGATCTGGAATGCCCCTGATTTATGTTGCAGTACTGGTTTAATCCGGCCACTCAATTACATTTGCTTTGTAGTGATCGATCAGTGCAAGCTCGTGATGTATCATCATATTCATTTTCTTTTCCAATCTGTTTGTTTGTGAGCGTTTGCCCTCTTCCTCCTCCCCATCCCATGGCATATGCCGCTACTCTTTTCCTTCTTCTGTCTCACGAGCTAAACGAGCTAGCTCGAGCTGACACACGAGCCGAGCCGAGCCAACACTTTAGCTCGTTAGGATAACGAGCCGAGCCGACCCAGCTCGATATCCACCCCTATCCTTGATACACATCCATCTCAGATGGTCAGGTGGAGTGTCAGTATTATTTTCACACGCCATGTCGATTGGTGTGACGAAAAGTTTCAAATTTTAGAAATAAGTTTTGAAAGGGTTCATTTTTTTAAATTAAAAATAAGGTTAAAAATAAAAGAAAATCCTTTTCTAGCACTAAAACAATGTCAACCACATCAGGTGGTCAATGACTAATCTGAAGCACATAGTTATTGTGAAGCACATCAGTGTGGAGAAGCCCTCCCGTCGCCGACAGCAAGGTGTTGGACGCCACCGCCTCCAACGTCCTCCTCGGTGCACCCTTCGCCCACCGCAGAGCGCCCTCCCGTGATGCCGCCAGCCGCCTGAGCTCACCCCGCCTCGACCGCTGGCCACCCGAGTTCTCTCTGCCTCTGCCTCCACCGCCCGCCGCCTAAGCTTTGCCTCCGCTGTCGGCCACTCGAGTGAGCGAGAGGGAGAGAGAGAGAACAGGGATTAGGGAGAGGAGAGGGATGACAGCTGGGTCCACGAGTTCTTTTAATTTTATTTGCTGACTGGATTGCCACGTTAGCGCCACGTGTGCAAGTTTAAGTCGAAAACAACTCAAAACAGTACTTAGGAGGGTTATTTGTCCGGTTTGTATAGTTGGGGTGAGATGTCTGGTTTTATGTTTTAAGGGGGTAATTTAATCGACCGTGATAGTTCGGGAGGGGGTAATTAATTTGTACTTTTTCCTATTATAATACTCCCTCCGTCTCATAAAAATTACATTTCTAGCTAATTTAGGACAAAACAGTAGGATTGAAAAATGACCACAATGACCTTATTTAATGAACCCATTGCATGCACATATTTCATATATACAAATGATTAAAAGTAAGTTTAGAGAATTAACCCATATAATTAGCATACCTAAATTACAAGCTGAGAGAACTTAAGGAAACTTATCTAGATGAATCAATTTGTTGGGACAAAGCCTTAGAGCTAGAAATGCAATTTTTTTTGGGACGGAGGTAGTACAATGGAGGAGTGAGCAAGAGACAGAAAGAAGCAAAGCAGGTGTCATGTGTTAGCCATGTCAGCACCATATAGGGGTCAAGATATCTAGTTTTGTGGTGCATGATCACAGAGTAGATTATGGTCAAAGTGGACTTATTCCTTCATATAGTGGCCTAGGGTTGGATTTGGGCCGCTCTAAGAATAAATGGGCCTTGAGTGGGCCAAAGCCCATTACCTGTCAGTATTAATTTGCCCTAGCCGATGATGATGATGTCATGTCCCCTTCTCCTCGGCCGCGCCCTCGACTCCCCGTCTCGTTCGCCCGCCGCGCCGCGCCGCCTTCCCACTGCATCCCGCGCCGCGCCGCCAGCCGCCGGTGAGGTGACCACCCGTACCCACGCCCATCCTCTTGCTCACTCCTCCCTTGTAGATCTGGAAGCTTTTCTCTCTCGCCTAACCAGCCTCTAGTACCAATAGCAGCATCTTAGGAAGGAGGGGAGCCCGCGGCGGCGGCGGCGGCCAAGATGAGCGACGACGTGATATGGCACTGCATCCGGCACAACCACTGCAGCTTCATGGCCAAGTACGTATGCGAGCAGCAATCCTATCTTCTTTCTCTCGTCGCTGTGGTGTTCTTTGATTTCTGACGATAAATTGGTTTTGGTTTTGCGGCAGGATCACGACGGGGATATTCTGCCGGAACCCGTACAACGCCACCGGAATATGCAACCGGAGCTCCTGCCCTCTCGCCAACAGCCGCTACGCCACCATCCGGGACCATGACGGTGAGTACTACTACCCCGCACTTTCCTCCATTTTTCGGGGCGAAATATCTTTTTAGCTCAACCGTTTCGATGATGCACTGTGTCGCCCTTTGTGGCAATAGCTTTAGGAAGCATTGGGTTATGTTTACAGTTGCTATTGGAAACATTGGGTTACATTTACAGTTGTTATTGGGAGACGATTGGTCTTTATTCGAGGGAAATTATTTAGTCGTGACTGTGATCGTTATTATTAACTGCCATCAAGATGATATTGTGAGTCTATGGATGGGATAAACCCTCAGTTCAAACACAACCAATGACTGTTTTAAGATAATGCGGTCTACCATGGAAGCTTATTTCATTAGTTAATTTTAAAGTCAAGAACTCGGTACTGCAGAAAGTTACATTTTTACGAGTGAATCGCTGTATTATGTGGTGCTCTCTGGATGAAACATGAGGGCTTCAGAATCCTTTCGTCCAAGGATACAGATTGCAGTCTAAGCATACTTGTTAAGCACATTGTTTTGCTCCCGGTTCTTTCCCAACTTATGTATACCATCTTAATATTTTTTTTGTTACATTCTGTTTCATTTCTCTCTCTTTTTTCTGGCCTTGCAGGTATTTTCTACCTATACATGAAAACAGCTGAAAGAGCCCATCTTCCGAACAAATTATGGGAGAGGGTCAAACTACCCAGAAATTATGAGAAAGCAATGGAAGTCATCAATAAGCATCTTGTATGCACTTCGAGCTTTGTCATTCGATCTGGATGTGAACTTTTATTTTAAGTCTCATAGCTTGTCTTTCTTTCATTATGTAGGAATTTTGGCCCAAGTTACTTGTGCACAAAATTAAGCAGCGCCTGACAAAAATGACTCAGTATCGGATAAGAATGAGGAAGCTTCAACTGAAAGTGAGGTAGGCTCTTAGGTTTATTTCCATAGTGTTTTCATTATGGTCTTAAGCTGAACACGATAAAATTCTATTAGAGTGCTGAACTCATCAGGTTGAAAATCTTAAATCTGGGACAACTGTTCTGAGATACATGCCATGTGGGAAGATGGTTGCTGAAGTACTTACCTGTTTAGCATGTTTTGGTTGCAAAGGGCATTGTTCCTTTTTACTTGTTTGTTGTTTTACTTTTCTGTCTTCAAGATGTGACTTTGACCATTTATTTTTATACTTTTGCATTAAGTATAATAATAAAATTATATTATTATGAAAGTATTCCTAATTACAAATTTAATGATGTGATTTTCAGTAGTTCCAAATATATTAGCAGTAAAACTTTTGAAAGGTTGAAGATGCGGATTGTAGGGTGTCATTAAAAAAGAAACATAGTAGTATAAAGTAACAGATTTCTGTAGATTGAACTCTATTGATTTATAGGTTTGCTTTTAGATGGGGGTGGGGATCCGATTTTGGTTGATTGTCTTATAGGCATTCTATGTATTTCATACTGCCACAACCAGCGCTACTGTCAGTGCCAAATTGTGTACTAGGATTTAAGAATAAGAACTGGCTCAGTGTTTGGTTATATTCAATTACAGAATTTTGAAGTTGCACATTTTGTTGACTTGTTCTATGGTCTTAAGATTGTATTAGATGCACTGTGTTCACATTGTTGCAGAACTTTTTAAAACTAATGGAAAAAATAATAATGGTAGCAATATCTCACAAGTTTCTACTTTGGTGGTATAATTTAGTGTAATAGTTTCATTATAATCTGATTTGCTTGTTGATGTATACTCTTTTTGTGAACTTTCTGCTGTTCTCTCTGATGCAATGGAAAGATTAATCATATTCCTCTCCCCTTATCAGAGAGAAGGTGATGACAATGCCCAGGAAGGAGACTCAGCGCCATCTCAGAAGAATGGATAAAGCTGAAAAGGCCGCTCAGTTGGAAAAGGTTATTATTTCTGATGCTATCCACGCCCTTTGATGGTTTGCCTTATTGAACATGTACCTGTTGTCATGCAGAATATTGAAAGTGAATTGAAGGAACGGTTGAAGAAAGGTGTCTATGGTGACATCTATAACTATCCCTTCAAAGAATTTGACACTATTCTTGAAATGGAAAAAGATGATGTAGCTCCTACTGAGGAAGAGGAAGAAGTAAGCATTGTTACTGAGTGCAGACTTGCTCATCTCACCTTGCATGAACTATCCATTTATCATGGATTCACTTGTTAACACAGGAAGAGGTGGAGTATGTTGAAGGTGATGATGAAATGGATGACATGGAAGACATTGAAGATTTTGGAGGCCTTCCTGATGATGATGAAGATGATGATAATGATGGTAATTACTTCCCTTTGTTCCGATTCAACTTCAACATATTTCAGAGTACTGTGATGATGTGAAGGAAATTTTGATATGCCTTGGCAAGCTAATATGTTACATCTGTTGGATTTTTACCAGCCAAAATGGTTAATAGCCTGTCATTTCCAATTTGACCTTCACTAAGAAAAAGAATCTAAAATATGATTGCAGGTGAGACGGATGAAGATGATCTTTTGGATGAACCGGTAGCAAAGAAACCTAAAGGGCGAGGTTCTGATTTGAGATCAAATATAGGGAAAAAATCCAAGAAGCTTATCACTGAGGTAAAGAGCTAGCAACCACCACAATCTCAATACTGTTTCTTGAGGACATTATACATATTGTCTCCTGCGTTAGACCTGCCTCTACTATTGATAGTAGCATCAGCCCTTGAGATTTTGTTATTCCATTATGTTAAAACTAATTGGTAGTGATAAGTGGGCATACTACGTGCTTTATTTACACTCCTTTTTTTGTATGGAACAGGTGGAACGAGATGATGACATGGGTATCAGACGAAGGACGCGAATGTGAGTTGTGCGAGCACTGGCTTCAATTGCATATGCCACGGGGTGCTGTGCTGTCAGTTTTGGTTGTACCTGAGATTGGCTTAGACTTAGTTGCTGAGAAATCAAGATGAGTTGTGGCATAGAACATTATATTTATATGTTGGCAAACTATTAGGTTTAGCGTTCAAATTGCAAGATAAGTGTAACATTATTTTGCAGCAAGCACTTTACAGGAAGATGCTCACTCTGGCCTGAGGCAGTTGTTTAGGGTTGTTTGTATCAACTTATCCATCGACGGATAAGCCATCCAATTTGGCTCTTAGGCAAGCGGGTGTTTTGCGTTACACAGATCTTAACAGTTCCAACGTCACAAACAATCTGTTTGTAACCGCTACGTCCACCAAAAGCAGTAATTTTCTTAATGTTTTGCAGCAACATTTGATCAAACTCTCTGGTTTAAAATGATCATTGGATGGTTTCCACTGGAATTGGAATCTGATTATTATAGCTTGTTCCGTTCTAGCTGGGGCATATAGACTGAGGAATTGTTCACTTCCAACCGGTCATTTGCCTGCCTTTGAACACCCTGTTTGGTTCGTTTCCCTTCGAATTGGCAGGCGTAGGGAAGGATCATTGAAGTTGGTACAATCTTGATTATCATAGAATTGGGTGCTTAGACAATCAGCCTTCATCAAAGCTGGAGAATTTTTTCCTAATGACATTATGCATAGTGTCTACAAAATGGGACTTTCTTAATGATAAGTTTTTTGAGGTCGCTCCAAATTGTTTTTTTGGTGCTTTTGGCGTCATACAAAGAACAAATATTAGTACATGTATTCCAAATCCAAAGGATGTTGTCGATTGATCGTTAACAGCATAGTTTTCAAGAGCATGGATCATCCACTTACATAACAAAATAGTGGTGTTACCACTGATATTTACAAACAACATAGCTTTCAAAAGCATGTCAAAGGATTTCCCCAAATGTGGGGTGACTAGGTCATGGGTACTCTACTGTCGAAAATGTTTCCTGGGCTTCAGGGCAAGTAAAATTAAAAAGAGAAGGTAAATTCTACAGACCAGGAAAGGGTGCTGGTCAATGATTCGATAATGGCAAATTCTAAATTCCTTTTCCTTGAGTTTCACATGTATCATCTACTGATTCTAAACGAGCATGTACTGGCCTGATATCTGGGACCTCTTCAATACCTTCAGTGGGCTGAGGGGAAAAGAACTAGTTAGATTTCCTCCAGATCTCCAGAAGATGATAAAAGTATGGGCAGAAATTCACCTGCAGATATTCTAGGAGGCACCATAGTAGGTAGTTGATGATCATAACAAGACAAAACAGTTTGCCTGCCCAAGCTCCACATCTGAGGTATCTACACCATTGTAGAAAAATCAGATGGACTGCATCCCTATATATTTGATGCCCCAGTGCATAAAAATTGTAAACAAAAATAGGTTAATGTTTCAAAAGCAATATACTCACCGTGGAAGGCGTTCTAGCAAATCTGTTTGTGGTGACTGCATTGCACGATCATACACAATCTCTGTTCTTTTCGCCACATCGTCCCAACTATAAAGCTTTTTCATCTAGATACATATTAGAAACAACCAAATCAATATAAATGAACTTGCAAATCACTTTTCCACTAAAAACTAAAGAAAAAAAAAGGAAATGTAATGCACAGAGCCCATAGCTGAAACGGTAAACTGCAGATGCACAGCAAGTTCATGCAACATGCAAGAGTTGAGACTCACTCGAAGATGCATAACTTGGGGATCTATGCCAGGAAGCATATCGATAGCCTTCCTGACAGCTCGTACCATATCTTCAGGAGCTGGTTCTGCAAGTACTACCATATCATCTGGTAAAACCTGAAAAAGGAAAAAGTTATTTGACAGCAACTCCAAATTTCCTAATTAACTACAGTACAGGGTTTTCTACAAGAGAAATGTATAAACATATATGCACATACCTCTGGAACACCACCGACTCTAGTACTTACTGTCAACAATCCACAACTTGCTGCTTCCAAAATGGCTATACAAAAGGCCTCTGTAAGCGAACTAAAATGGCAAAGATTAAATTTCAGCGTAATTGTGGATCATCCATATAGTTGAACTTTTGCCATCGTTAAAATATCATATCATATTACTTGTTCATTTCTATGTTGGGGACATATCCGGTGAAAATGAGCTAAGTGTTGAAAACTCGTGAAAATCATACCTAAAAGTTTTGTAAATTCATGAAAAAAATACTAGAGATAGGTGTAGATATGAAATACATTCTCACCAAATCTCAAGTTCAAACTCAACTTCGTTTAGGAGTAACAAAAAAGACAAATTTCAGGTGAATAGTAACAGGACACTATTCACCTGAAATTTGTCTTTTTTGTTTCTCATAAACGAACTTGAGTTTGGAGTTAATATTTGGTGAGAATGTATTTTATATCTACACCTATCTCTAGTATTTTTTTCATAAATTTACGAAACTTTTAGGTATGATTTTCACGAGTTTTCAACACTTAGCTCATTTTCACCGGATATGTCCTCTTCTATGTTTGTAATGATATTAGGGTCTAGTTAACATTATGTATTATGAAAGATGATATTTAATTTAAAGGGATAGACAGAAAGCAGTCTTACGTGTATCAACAATCCCTGATGAAAAAAAGGAACTAAGGAAATAAAAAAGTTTCAACATAAAGCAATGAAAATATTAAATAGCTACCTGTTCAAAAAAATATGACCAGATATCAGAACAGATCGCACTTGAGCATGAGGCACAGCTCCTAACATCTCAACTCTATCCTGAAGGGAAAACTTCTCCCTCATTTCTTCAATTCGCACACGTTTTGGACCATCACCTCCAACAATAAAGCGAACCTGACAGTTCGTACAGTTGCTTACTTGATCAAATATGACCATTTACTAAATCCAAAACATTGTGAACATTAAAAAGGATGGGAAAGTTATGATGGAATATAAGGAGAGTTCAACTATTGTGTATGCATTTTGCTTTATGTTGATATGTCATATAACGAAATGATTCTACCATACCCATAGTTCACCCTTTTTATTTCATGCATGACTCCAAAGAGTGCTATGGTTGTGACTCACCTTAGGAAAAAGACGGCATACTTCTGGAATAACTTCCACAAGAAGGTCTGCACCCTTTCGATACACTAATCTACTTATCACAACAATAACAATTTCATCACAGCTCAAGCGATCTGGAGAGGGAGTAAACATTGCAGTATCAACTGCATTAGGAACCATGAAAACCTTCTCTGGAGATATCCCTGATCTCAAGACAGTATTCTCTTTGCTTGTGTGAGAGACACATATGGCCTGATCAATATCTGCAAGAGTAAACTGCAGCACCTTATTCATGTGAATGCTTCCAGCATCAGCAAAACCGTAAAGCGAGTGATCTGTGAAGACAACTTTGTACCCCATCGTCCTAGCATGCATCAGTGCTTCATGGCACAATGTTGAGAAAGCCTGATGTCCATGCACCACAGAGATCTTCTCACGAATAAGAATGGTCCTCACAATCGGAAATGTCAAGAATAATGTAGGCAATGTATTCTGCATCAGGAATGGCTTCCATGGAACATAATAAACCTTCAAGCCACCTGTAACATATCGTACTCCAGAACGATTCCCATATGCATGCGTCATGACAATCACCTGGGAATCAAACAAAAAAGTTGTCTAAACATTCGCAACAAAATCAGTAGCACTAATTTAGTCCGTTGTGTGGCTCTGCCTATCATTTAACGATTGGATAAGATATGTAACAAAAATCCTCTAACCATTATTGGCATCAACTCATTATAGCAGAAAGATATTAAATCCAATATTTAAACTACATATAACAAGTGAGCTGGGGCAGAATCAAAAGCATATCCATGAGTTGATCTAGACCCTAATATAGTCCCTAAAATTATGCATGAAAAGAACAAGGCAGTAAATAGACCATTCAGGAGATTAGGGACCTTATGGCCAAGCTTAAGGAGACACTGCGACAGATAATAGATGTGGCTTTCCACGCCGCCAAAGTTTGGAAAGAAGAAATCTGACACCATCAAAATCCTGTGCTTTCTCCCTCGCCCATCCATTTGTAGCTGTGTTTGAAATCTGAAAGAAAAAAGAGGAAAATCAATCGGTTTGCTACACAACATTCGACTGAAAAAAAATGGTGGCAAAATCTTAATAATCGCTAACCTCTCTATCTGATCCGAGATTCCTTCTCCAGTAACATTCTCCATCTCCAGCGAGTGTAGCGAACTTAGGCGGAGGAGGCGGCGGCTCCGGCGCTTACTAGTTAGGTTTCGTGGTGGGGATCCAGGGTTAGACGGAAGCGGCCGGGGCGGCGGAGGCCCCGCGGTGGGCGGTGGCGCGGGGAACGGAGATCGGGAGGGCGGAGGAGGGGGTAGTCGGTGGAGGCGGCGGGCAGCAGGAGCCGCCGGAGATGGAGCAGGAGGGCGGCGCGGTGGCACCGGACACCCGAGACGACGAAGATGACGGGGGAGGGAAGAACTGGAGGCGGAGAACGGCAGTGCTGGAGCCTCGGCGGCGGCGGCGGCGGCGGCGGAGTGGAAGCGCGTGCGGTGGGGGAAGAGGCGGCGGCGGCGGCGAGAGCTCGCGAGTCGAGCTGCGTGGTTCGTAGAGAGAGAGAGAGAGACGGACGAGACGAGTGGCGGCGGATGGATGTGGGACGTTGGATTCCAATCTGATGGTTAAAATTTTGTAAGATTTTGGAGTAGGGAAATCTTCCGGGTGATCGTAAAAATTTGAAATGTACTTAGTTCGTCTCAAAATATAAGTATTTTTAAATTTTGAAACGATTTTCGAGGTATACTTTAACTAACAATATATATAAAAGTGAGATGTTTTAAATAAAAAGAGTTGCATATTATGATAGTTTGTTCAATGATAAATCTAGTAGCATCAATTTTGGGATGGCATAAGGAGATTGAGTCTCACTCTTTTTTGAAATAGAATTACGGAATCTAGTTTGTTCAATGATAAATCTAGTAACATCAATTTTATCAATTTTATATGATTGATTTTTTTATGTTTTCACTAGTAATAGTCAAAGTTAAAAAAAATGTTTGATTTAGCACTATTCTAAAAATCCTTATATTATGGGACGGAGATAGTATCATAATGTATAAGTCGCAAGATAAAGATAGACCTATAAGTTAAACATGTCAGAATATAATAATATATTTGCTATCTTTAACCAAGTGTTTTTTACTTTTACTTAAGCCGATCAGACAATTTTTAGTTGAGTCGAACAAAAGTTATGTTCACACTCACTTCCTCGCTGAAGTGATATTTCTTCTCGACGAAGACAAACTAGAGCGCAATCCTCCATGCCCATTACTGCTACTTCCTCCTTTTCATATTATAAGACTTTCTACTATTACCCACATTCATATAGATATTAATGAATCTAGACATATAACATCTATATAAATATGGGCAATGCTAGAAAGTCTTATAACCTGAAACGGAGGTAGTATTCTCCAACACACCTTTAGGTGGTGTTTGTAAGTGTTTCACGCAAAAAAGGTGGTAATAACGTGTAATTAATTGAGTTTTAATTATTACAAACTTGAAAAATGGATATATATATATATATATATATATATATATCATATTTTAGAATAATTTTCATATAGAAAGTTTTCATACGAAACACACCGTTTAGCAGTTTAAAAAGCGTGCCACTTTTATCTAAAAGTTTACCTAGTTTTTGTTGGAGAAAAGAACTGCTCTCTTGTTATAAGTCATATAAGACTAGAGCATGTTGCTAGGTAGCATTCACGATGGTGAAGAGTAATCACACAACTAAGGCTAAATAACAAGGGTGATGTAACGACCTTTGGTAATGCAACGACCTATGTTCATGTTCGTGTTGACGATGATGTATTCCATGAAGACCACAACACAATTGCAAAACCACCATAATGGAAATGATTTGACCAGCACAATCACAATAATGTGGTATGTAGTGACGACATCGATGCTCATCACCAATTGCTTTTGAGATATTTTACGTTTTTTTAAGTCGCACGATATTTTTTTATATCACATTTGGTGGAACATATCTTCACTATATTTGTATCTTACTGTTTCCAGTATGTTTCACCTTTGTTGCGTGGTGCTCTTAGGGCAGTAGCAGTGCAAACTATGCATCGCGTGTCTCTAGCTGGTATGTGCAATGAAATCAAACCAAAAGCATCCGTATGCCATGCACTTCACAGTGCATGTGACCTCCTCTGCATAGTCTGACGCACGATGTGATGGAAACATGATGCCAGGGCAGGACCTCTACAATACGGATGGCCAAGTTATTTCTGCCTAGCGCATCCTCGTTTCTTCGCCGCACGTCCTTGAGCGCGAGCGAGGAACTCGTCCCCCATCGAAGGCCCGAGCGGCTCAGTTGGGACGCACATGGTGCCGACGTGTCAATGAATCTTCCCGCTAGCGCAACGAAGCAACGCTCCACGTAGGAGCACAGCCTCAGTGAACATTTGACCTTTCAATAAATCGGCTTAGATTGGACATCAGACCATAGTCATGTCGACGATAAATAAAAAAAATAATGGGGTATGACCGTATGGGGTTCAGCTGAACCCCAGTTTCTCTATTGCAACTACGCTGAAAATATGAAATTTCAAAAATAAAAATGTAGCCTGATGTTAGATAAATGGAATGGAGAAAAAGCAAGATAGTAAACTGTAAATAAAGCTCATCAGTACGTACTGAGGAGGACCAAACAAGGGGTATGGGGATTCAGCTGAAGCCCTATTTTTTTTTTTTTTTGGAAATCAAGTCGCAATTTATACCGCACATGCTAAATTCCTGATATTTCACAATATGGAATGAGTAATTATGATTTTCCTGAGCAGTTGAGCACATGCATGACACAAATAGTAATGATCAATTGATGCCATGGTCGCGTATCTCATAGCTCTTACGTGACAATTTGCATCTCAAAACATGTTTTGCAAAGATATTTTATAGAAATCTTACAAGGTATTCTTCAAAATAATTGGAGGTACCAGTTCGGTGTTCATTAGCACTATCCACAACATTTAAAGGTGAAATTAAGTAAACTGAACAACAAAAACAGCTGTTTACTCACAGGCTAAATTGCTATGAACCTAGAATATACAGCATTATCAAATTATTAATAAAACTCAGCCACTATAGTTTGGAATAAAAGAAAAAAAATCATATATAAACCTAATATGAATGGAAAAACAACGCACAAATCTTTTCCTCTGTGCACCAAAGGACAGTCCAATAACTATTAGAGATCATCTTCAGCAGCACTCGCAGCACTTAAATCCACACTGAGATCAACCGTCTGGATAAAATGGCATGTCGATTAGCATAAGCAACTAGGAAATCACTATCGAGACAAAGGAAATTTAAAACATTAAACACACGTTTTTTTAGGTTGATACAAGATCATGAAAAATGCAATATTAGTTCAATTATCACTTTGCGATCCTGGAATGTAAGTTACTCTGATTGATACAGTCTGAATATGATGCTAAGAGTTATATACTGATATTCTTACAAGGTTGCTACTCAACTAGCTGCCTTTTTATAAAGCACTGTATCTGTGGAATTGAAAAGCCCATTTCCTTCTCATGATAGAATAGATTGATTATAGTTGCCACGTGGAATACAAGATTAGAATAGCACAAGTGCAAACAATGTTGAACTCATAGTGCTGGTAAGGTTCAATTAGTGCTGGTAAGGTTCAATTCAGAAGGTTGGGGTTGTACTCTAGTGCAGCCATTAAAAGTTGAACAGAAAACAAATGTACCTTTCCGGTGATCTTTGTATAGATGGAAAGAACATCCATCACAGTAGACTCAAAGTGTGTTGTGGCATCATAACTCTGAAAAGCAAATCGAATTAAATGTTTATTTCAAATGCAGTTTTTTGGTCATATGTCTAACCTACATACACTTGATATTTCTGCGATGACTTACTGTTGAGATGAAACAATTGTCTGAAGATGGGTCATTAGTAGGTTCAAATCTGTCGTATGTATCAATAAATAGTTCATCCACTGGCCCAAGAAGGTCTATCCCTGGTTTCAATTCCGCCGCTGGATTTTCACTCTCTGCTTGTGCTGACACGAACGCGATGAACTTCCCTTTTGATGCAACATTGTGAGAGTAGGAACAACAGAAAACATACCTGGCATGCACCAGTGAACATTCTTTTGTTACAATAATAGAAATGACAAGTAGACCAAGAGTAATCTATAGGTGTAATGCCCAGTAATGGATAAAAACCAGAGGTGATATACAGAATACTTGCATGTCTGATTTGCGTCCAAGTTGCTTTTGTGGTATTATGATCTGTACAGAGTGAGAATCTGCAGTATTTGGGATTGGATGGCTCATGATAGCGATTGCCCGAAAAACTTTTCCAACTTTTCTAACCTGATATAACAGCAGATAATTCTAATCAGTACCAACATTTTGTAAACTTCTACGTCCTCTAATCCTAAGCATAAGTTGTTTTGGACTTGTGAATAGGAACTAAGGCCCCGTTCAATGTGGGGTTTTGTAGACAGATTTTGGTTGCACGCAAAACGAGAAACATCATCCACACATGATTTATTAAGTATTAATTATTATAAATTTTAAAAATAGATTTATTTGTTTTTTTAAATAACTTATATGTAAAAACTTTTTGTCAAAAACACACCATTTAACAGTTTGAAAAGCGTGCTAACGGAAAACGAGGAAATTGAAGTTTGGAGTTGAAAAACAGAACTGGGACTTAGAAATTAACTAAATAACTCACCCTTGATTGTTATTCAGAATGCAAAAGATAAGTCATTTATCCATGAGAACAGTATCATTTATATATATAGGACAAAAGTGAAAAAGATACTGTATAGAAGTACTTCAATGTTCTAGGATGACTTATATTTACAGAAGAGCTGAGGAGGCTAACATGAGAGACACTAAATTGCATCATACTTCTATTTGATTCTGAATAAGTAATAAATAAATTTAATGCAACAAAGGACAATTTATTTATCAGACATAGTAGGTCTCCTTCAAATAATCTTAAGAAAAGTACAGTATAATTAACTAATTAGGAAGGTAATCACTAAGATATACTCCCTTTGAGGGCAACTATTTGTTTGTATGAAAAAAAAGTGTTTTACCTTATCAGGTATGTATGATGGATCACAGACAACCTTCTTACATTTTGCAGTCTCCCCTTCTGACGTAACACCACAAACTTTTCCTTCATCATTAAATTCTATCTGAATATGCCCATGTATGTTTGATCAGAAAATCACATATTTACCACTGAAATGGATTTAACATTACAGCTTCTAGAACAATTTTTAGATTGTCATGCCACAATTCATTAGCACTAGCATCTACCATGCATACAACTGGTGAAATCCAAGCCTGGATTATGTTAACATAATATATTTTGTCAAACTCTGACAGCTTGATCTATTCTTCCTTTTCAAAGCAATAATCATCATATTCCTAATTTTTTCTTCTATGGAACCTTTGAGAGGCGAACTTGTATCATTTCTATCCTCCTTAATGAAATTGGCAGATCTCCTGCCCTCCCCCCTCAAATTTTTTTTCTTGCTTTTGCACCTTAAAATCCTAAAATTTTCATTTCACATTGTGATCACCATGCCCAAATCACCAAAGAAATTATTTGGAAGGTTCAACTCACAATAACAACACAAATTATACCTTGCACTCTGGCTTATTTAACATGTATGTCCCACCATAGACAGCACTAAGCCTTGCAAAACCCTGGATCAAATAAAAACAAGTTAGAAAATCAACCATTTATGATCTCTGTGATTGCTGGAATTGATGACACAGTTTAATAGTAATGACCTGTGGCAGCTCTCCTAAGCCATACAAGGGATAAATATATGGTGATCCTCCTTGAAAACGACCCACTGATTCTGCATAAAGCTGCAATAATTCAAAGAAGTGTTAGGTAAAAGGCAATATCTGGGAGTGAAAGTGAAGTGACCATATATGCTAACTATAGCATGGGAACAGCAGTAAAATGTCTAGTTTCGAACGGGTTGGAAGAAGTGGTTTAGTTGGTTGACAGAGACACGTCATGTTCATAGTTGTGATTTCCAGCAATATATTGTGACTAAAATGGCTTTAGTTTTGTCCACAGATAACCCAGCTGATGTTCTATTCGATGTATGTACGCCAAAGTGTGATGTGGAATTTCATCAGACTGTCAGGACTAGTTTGATCCGAGCTTCTTTTCTAATATTTTGAAGTTGAAAGACTCAATACTTGCCTTCATCCGCTTTACAGTGTCAATTGCAGGTTCTGTCAGGTAGTTATCCTCTTTATGAAGAGCCACTGCATGGCCAATAAAGTCTATTGTATTATCATCCAAACCATATTTTCTGGAAAAAAATAAAGGGGAGCAGAGAAGTCTCAATAAATTGAATCATTAAGAGGCACTACAACTTCAGGTTCTTCAAATAGTATGATAGACCAAAATATCAGAAAATATATATGAAACATAAATCAGATTGTATGAATAAGTTTGATGTGTCAATTCATCGCTAATGAATAAAATTCACCTAATTCTTATGCTTATCTATAAATGAACTGAAGAAGTGTACCGTATAAGGATGGCTCTGTGATGATAAAATAAGTGCAGCTGCGGAACTGGCATAATTGTTTTTATATATTTCAATGAAGGGGAGCTATTTTTGATCCATGTGGATGTACATTATGAAAATTTAGGAATTAAATTGATGTATCTGTATGTGTTGGCCTGAATGTATCCGTATGTGAGTACCACTGTAGTACTGTACCATGTTGCAGATTTATTGAACAGAGCATATAAAAAAGCAATTGAGGCCCCTCATTGATTCTTTTTTTTTTGACAGGACTTTTGTTGATTCTAAGGTATTATATATGTATATAAACAAATAAAACCATACAATTCCTTTGTGCATGGATCATTTAGGTGGTATAAATGTACACTGAAGATACGACTGAGTACATACAGGAACCATATGGGACCCAAATATAAATTTCACAAACAAACCAAATCAACTACTTACATCTGAAAATAAAATTAAGCACTTATTCTTCGTGAAATAAAAAAAAAGGTAGAAAAGCAGCAGTAAACATGGGTACTCACGAGATAAGCTCCTTGGTGGTCATTTTGTTAAGGTCATATCCCTTGTGGGTACTTGGATCATTTTCCTTGTAATCTTGGACAAAAAGGAAGAACTTCCCTGCTCTGCGCTTCTCGAACAATCCCATCAATGGAGACTTGAGAGCTTCCATATCAGTAGAGGGAACCTTGTGGATCTGTGATCCAAATATCATGTACAAAATTGTATTATAGATTTGCCAATTGAGTTATGGAGTGATCTACACGCATTAGAATTAGAATCCAACCTTTCCCTTATTGAAGACATAGCTTCCATCAACAGCTTTGAATGATAAGTACTTGGTAACACCAGTGTGGATAAGTACACGGACCAATGTACCATTTGCCATCATAAACTAGACAAAATAGCATTTCACAATATGTCAGTAACTAGAAAGGAAGTAGGGTGAAATTAATCATCACACAATCTAAAAAGAATTTCCTATAAATATTTGCATATGCGCATGCGAAGAATATTTAACTGTGCGACACTTAAAACCCAAGTTCCAATAAGTTTTTGTGTATGTCTCCACTCTCCATAATAAAGTAGAGCAGTGCCATCTAAGCCCAACAAACTACACACAAACTCCAGAATATAATCAAATATAAATTGGAGCCGGGCCTGACCTTTGGAATCATGTCTACATTGTAGTCTCTGCTAGCCCCAATTTGCGCCGGGGGAGTACCTTCACCTTTGAACCTTTTCCATAGCTGGCATACATAAACAATGAGCTTGATCAGATAATTTCATCTGATAGGTAACCAACCTCACACAAATTTGTCTGAAACTAATATTGATGAGGAAATTTCTAACATCCCTTAGCACGTCAGGAAAACAGAAGTTGGCAGACAGGTAGGTAAGATAATGTTGGCAAATTTTTGCTACGGAGGGTGAAGCCTTGTCACCTGATTCAGGTTGAGCGATGTGGAGTCTCCACCGTAGTAATCATTCCTGTCCATATGCAGCACCTGGTGACAAAACAGAAATGGGACACGTTTTTCATCATTTTCTGATGAGAATTTTTTTTTTCGCTGACAAAATAATGACAAATTCAAGATCACTCGCAAAAAACATAAAAAAAATTGCTGGTTTGTTTCACATCATTATTTGTGAATTTGTGATTGTTAATCAGATCACAAAGCGATTCACGATCAGATCTGTCGTTTCTTCGAATAATTTTACCCGGTAAAAAAAAATCCAAAAATGGCATCACAAAGGACGAAAGGGTATTTGATTGGTTAGCCAGAAACGGGAGGGGATCGATTGATCAAGCAATTAGAAATGGAAATTAATCCTCCATCCATGACGCGATGCCCTAGCTAGATCGATCCGGGCGGGAGAGAGAGAGAGAGAGAGAGAGAGAGAGAGAGAGAGAGAGAGAGAGAGATGGAGAAGGAGACCACCTTGAGGCGATCGACGGAGAGGAGGCCGCTGAGGATGCACTCCTTGAGCCCCGTCCCGAGCACGATCACGTCGTACTCCACGTCCATGGCGGGCGGGCGGTCGATCGATCGAGAGTAGCTAGGTAGGGCGATCGATGGATGGATGAGTTTGGGCGGGTGAAAGGGTTGGGGGAGGAAGAAGGGTGTCGCCTCTCTCTCTCTCTCCAAAGGCCGCGGGAGAAGAAAATGAGGGCGGCGCGCACTCCATGTAGCTTTGCGGAGGAAAACTCGCCTTCGCCGCGCGCGGGCGCAACGCGTGTCCATGGAGCTTGACCTGTTCGCCGTTCCACCCTCCACTGATGCCATATATTTTGGTTTCACTGGTTTAACCAAAATACCTAAAACCCACGTGTCAGCTCTATCTTCTTCTATCCAATTTTTTTTTTCACCAGTTTATTACATGTCAACTAAATACTCTCTCCTTTCTAAATTGATCATCATATAATCATATGGATACGGATTTCATCAGAATACAGATAATATAGCAATGGGAGAATGTGTATATGCTAAGATGTAATTAGCATGGTGTTTTAATCGATACATGCATTGTGAGAGAATGTGTGCATGGTGTCTTTATTGATGTGATTTAAATTATTTTTGGGTTTGGTGCATAAATATATATCATGATCAATTTGGAATGATGGTGTATTTATGAAAAAAAATAAAAAAAATGATAAAATAGGTTAATATGTAATATATCACTCCACAGATATGCAAGTTAAAATTTAACTTATACATGTTATAATAAAAACAACAAATTTAACTGCAAATTTACCTTACTAATTTGAGTTTATTTTGTTACTTTTGTTACAATTTGTAGATGTTGAATTTTAACTTGCATATTTGTGTAGTGATATATTATATATTGATCTATCTTGTCAATTTTTTTCATAATCATTCAGATAACATGCAATAAATGCAGGGGCGGAGCCCAATAAACCTAAGGGGGTTCACATACACCCAGCCCAATTTTTATATTTTAGTACTTACCCCTCTATTTTTACCAGAGGAAAAAGTCCACTTTGACTCCCTTAAATGTCGGCCGAATCTAATTCGTAACCCTTAACCAGAAAACCGGATAAAATGACTCCTCGAACTATTGAAACCGGTGCAATTTGACTCCCTGGGTGGTTTTGCAAGCGGTTTTGGCTGACGTGGCGCCTACGTGGTGGTGTTGACCCGGTTTTCGTGCACGTGTCGCTTACGTGGAACAAAAAATTATGGGCCCACATGTCATTCAAAAAAGGGACCCACAGGCATGTGGGCCCGACATGTCATCCTTCCTCCCCTCCCCTTCTTCCTCCTCCCTCCCTCCCTTTCTCTCTCTCTCTTATCTCTCTCCCTCCGCCATGCGCTGGTGACCGTGGCTTCGAGATCCGGTGTTGGCGGCGGCGGTGGCGAAGGCCGGGCGGAGTGGTGGTGATGGCGACGGTGGTGGTGGCCACGACGGCGGCGTCTCCCCCCCCCTCATCTCTCTCTTCCTCCCGGGGGCTGGTGTGGCGTGCGAGTCTGCGAGAGGAAAAGAGGGGTTGGGCGTGGCAGCGGCGGCGACGGGCAGGGGGGTGGGCGCTAGAGCGGCGGTGGCCACGTCCTCTCGCGCCGCCCCTCGCCGCCGCAGCTTCCTCGTCCCGTTGCGCCGCCGTAGCCCCGCAACTTCCAGATCCAGTGCTAGCGGCGGTGGTGGCGAAGGCCGGGCGGAGTGGTGGTGATGACGGCGGCAGTGGCCCCCCTCTCTTTACCTTCCGGGGCCGGTGTTGCGTGCGAGTCTGCAAGAGGAAGAGAGGGGTCGGGCGTGGCGGCAACTGCGACGGGCAGGGGGGTGGGCGCTAGAGCGGCGGTGGCCACCTCCTCTTGCGCTGCCGCGCTCGCGAGGCCGCCTCCTTCGTCCGCTGGCTATGCCGCCAAGACTCCCCGCAGCGGCCCGACGGCGTGGGCGCTGGAGGCGGCGATGAAGCAGCAGGACATCGTCACCAATGGAGGCGGCGATGGAGCACGCGCATGGTGTCGTCGTCGACTCTTGCTCTGGAAGAGCTCTCCTTGGCCGGAGTTCGGAGGTGTTGCTCGACGACGACGAGGAGGAGATGGTGGTGCCGACGAGCGTCCCACTTTTTTTGTGTGAATGACATGTGGGGCCTACAGAATTTTGTTTTTTTATTTTTACTCTAATTCCACGTAAGCGACACGTCGACGACATGTGGGACGAAGACCGGGTCAACACCGTCACGTAGGCGCCACGTCAGCCAAAACCGCTTGCAAAACCACCCAGGGAGTCAAATTGCACCGGTTTCAATAGGTCGGAGAGTCATTTTATCCGGTTGGTTAAGGGTTACGATTTAGATTCGGCCGACATTTAAGGGAGTCTAAGTGGACTAACCTCTTAGCTCAAGATCGTGCACCACCCATGGCCCATGAGCGAACAAGTGAAGGCCTTAGGCCCATGAGGAAAGCTGGGAGGCGCACGGCGCACCTCACGCACCCAGGAGCGACGCGCCGCGACCCGCGAGGCTCGCTCGATCACCGCACCTCTGAACTCCTCGTCTCCCGTTTTTCTTTTATATTTTTCCTTTCTTTTTCCCACCGCGATTCCGCGTCTCCACGATACCCCGTCTGTTCGTCATCCGTATTCCGCCGCACTAGCAGGCAGCATCGCCGTCGCCCACCTAGTCTCTCTAGCCAGCTGCACCATCGACAGGCAGCAGCGCCGCAGGTAGTGGCGGGTGAATGTGCATCGCGCCATCGCAGTGGCTGCGTGGCTGCGTGCATCGACAGACAACAGGGAGACAGGGAGCAGCGGAGGCTCGCAGCAGGCAGTAGCAGCTGGACTGCAAAGCAGGGCACTAGGGCAGCCGAGCAATGCACAGCAGCACAGCCAAATTGAAATTGATGAAGGTATTTATCATTATTCATTCTCTAATTCTCTTGATTAGTTCTAAACTTTGAATTTATCCTCCTCTCTTGTAACTTGTTGATTAGTTAGATTTGTAACCTGTTGACATATACTGCCTTTTCAATTGTCCAGATTTATATAAGCTAGTGTTTAAACCGTTTAAAGTTTGAAGAACTGGATGTTTCAGTTTTAATTGATCATCTCTCTTGAAGGGACCATCACTAGTAAAATTGTAAGCACACTGTGACACTATGCTATTATCAAACTATCATTGCTTTTGAAGCGTACATTGTTCTATTGTACAGTGCACGTATAGTCTAACATAATAAAATTATTTAATTGACATGTTATGGACAAGTATCTCAAGAGGAAAGCGCCCGATAGTCCCAATATCTTTTTGTGTTCATTGGAACATAAACCCTAAACCCTAAACATATTTATTTTTATGTTTTTTACATGTTCATTGGATATAAATTTTTAGTTCAAAATTAAGATGTTTCTAACTTATGTTCTGGTATTATTGTAGGCTATGAACTATCGATGATATTGACATTGACAACTTTAATGTCGAGGATGTATATCTTTCTTTATGTTTCCATTCGTGGTTTCTTTCATCTTAAATTTCTGTAAACACTTTTACTTGCTACTCAATGATTTGGTGTCAATAGATATCTATAAATGGTCAAAAACCATTATTTAGAGTAATTGCCACCATCTATATAGTGAAGCAGTGCACCACCCTCAATTTGGTTCTAGCTCCGCCACTGAATAAATGTGTGGATGTCTACCTGGGTGATTAAAAAATAGGGATGGTCCATATGTCATTTAATCCATGCAATTACAAATATGTCATTTATATAGCGTCATTATTATTCATCTATTCATGTACATGATATTCAAATTCGTACAAAATTAAAACTATGCTAGCGTCGTCACATTTTACATTGTGACTATTAATATACTGTGCTAACACTACACACAATAATATTTTGGCTAATAAATTATACTATTAATTTGCATGTTAGTCAAATTAATTTTTCTCTAATCAGTCCAAATGAGCTTTACTTGATTTGGGTCATATATGATAATATGAAATATATTTAAGGAAAAGTAAAACATATCATATTTTTGTTTGAAAAAGTTTATTTAATATCACAATTATGTGTAATCACTTCAATACATATTTAATCATAATATATGTCCACAACCACTGATGGCATGAAAAAAGAGATTTGAGCACCATAGTAAAACTCAATAAAGTTAAATTCAAGGAAAGCTAAGTTATGTACACATTCAAAGTTGTTTCTCACACAATATCCCACACATTTCACCTGTTTTGATTGAAGTGAACATGATCAAGCATATGTTCATCTCAATCCAAAATAGAAAGGGCATAATCTTACTACCATCACCAGGGTATTTTTTTTAAACCCCGTCGGGGTGTACTTGTATTTTGTATTAAGGTAGGGGGAAAAACTGTACAATAGCCAAGGGCTAGAAGGTTACATTAAAAGAAGGAAGGAAAGAAAAAGAGGAGGGAGGAGGGAAGGGCGACCACGGGATGCCTAGCATGCCTAAAATTACATATGTTTTGTTACAGGCTACTGATAGCGTCTTGGGTGTTTGGGATCAGACACTTGATGCCCTTTGCACCAGCTGCCGGCCATAACCAGATCTCATCCGTGATCCGTTCAATTATTTGTTGCAGCGACAGTTCTTCTTTTCTGAAGACGCGACTATTCCGCTCTCTCCATATTTCCTAGGAGATGAGGATCTAATTGATGCCCCCCCCTCTTTTCTCCTTTGTTGCAGCCTTGACACTCTGGCACCACCATTCCTCGAGGGATGACGTGTCGAACCAGTTTTGCGGTTTTCAGCTGTGGGAGGTCATCCGCGTTGCCACCACATCCCAGATTTTCCTGGTCATCGGGCATTCGTTGAAAAGGTGTTGCACCGTTTCAAGGTTTCTCAAGCAAAGTTGACAAAAATATTCATTGGGCTATTCTCTTTGTTGGAGCCTATCTGTCGTCCGGATCCTGTTTTGAAGGAGCAGCCATGTGAAGGACTTGCATTTTGCAGTTGGTGCCCAACATTTCTACACCACATTTGTCGTGATCGAGGGAACTCCGTCGAGGAATTGCATCTGGTATGCCGATTTGGCAGAGTATTCCCCTGATTCTGTCCACTTCCAGCGGATGTTGTCTTCAGTCCCTTGAGTTAGTATGGTGTTTGTGGTCCACAGACATTCAAACACTTTGAAGAATTCAGTGACGAGTGTTGTGGTCAGGTTGTGTCTGATATCATCCATCCATTTATCTCCTCCTAGGGCCTCTGCCACTATTCGCTTCTTCCTTCTTGAGTGCTTGTATAGATTTG